AAAAACACAAAACCTCTACACACTTCTAACATGCACATTTACACAACTAAATGGCAGTATTAACGAAAGGAAAAACATTCAACAAATCCCTTTAAACCTGATGTCATGTGTGACATCATCAGGACTTTAAAATGAGGAAATGACAGGCGGGCGTTTAACCACACCTGACCCTTATGACAACTGAAAAGACAAACAAAGTAAGTATGAACAAATGACTTAATCTGTAACATAATAAAGTATAAAGAAACATAACTTAGTATTTGTCTTAATTTGCAGAATGTTTGATTTGCCGGCAACAAAACGCTTACACAAACAAACCCGGGATAGTGAGTGAAGCAATGTTACATGACAAATAGCAAATCATAGCAAATACATAGAAACAGAATAATGTGTACAATGTGCAAAAAAAGGTAAACACATATGGGACAAATGGAGAGCATTGCAACTGCTCCTCCACTTTGTCACAGGGTAACATATTTTCAATACGTTTAATTACTTAATATATTGTCATTCTTTTTACGACTTTGTTGTGTGATTTATTTTTATTACTGAAGGTTACTCGCCATACCAATACCAACTAGATTTTTAAATCTTAATATAAAATGAGTAACTGTAGGGTGGACATTAGTTAATTCTGCAATTTTTGCAGTGATCTTTAAGTCATCACTTCCGTCTGAATTGAAAAGGTCAGAGTCAAATTCCATTCAATGTCCCACCTGTATGTGACTCAATTTTTGCGATAGAGCTTTTGCTGCAAACACAGCCCTGACCCATGGAAGAAAGGAGTCCTTTAGACACCCAAAGTATGCTGATGTCAGCAAAAGATCCTTTAGGTCCTGTAAGTTTCCAGGTTAGGCCTCCATGTTCTGTCTTCTCTGAATAGCTACCCTGTACACTCTAACCACTGTGAAAAGACAGTATATGTTCCCAACATGTTTTGAAGACAGGAACGAATAAAAATGATGATTTCTCTGACCAAGGAGACCTTCTTACGCCTATAGAGAACATAGAGACACTGAGGAACCAGGAGACCAGAGTCCAAAACCAGGATAAAGAGTTTCAGTGAATGTGGTGTTAAAGGTGTGGAGGTGGATCAGAGTGTCAGAGGAGACTCTGTTGAAGGACAGAGTGCCAGCAGGACAGTCCACATACACTGCTACTCTGTTAGAGACAGTGGAGGAGGAGAGGATGGTGGTGGTGATGGATGTTTCTTTGTTTCTGTGACAGACTGAGTAACCACCATCATAGTAGAAAAGACTCCAGGACTGTTCATTTCCTCCAAATACACAGTCATCACTGCGTCCTTTCCTTCTGATTCTTCTGTAACTCAGTGATATATGAACCCTTCCTTTCCACTCGACCTCCCAGTAACAGCGACCAGTCAGACCATTTCTACACAGCAGTTGAGGATATTGGTCAAATCTGTCTGGATGATCAGGATATGACTGATCCTCCATAACATACATGGCCTCATTGTTGTTGCCAGACAGCTTGATCCTACTGTGTACTGTGTCTGAATCAATAGTGAGTGGACAGGAATCTGATAGAGAGAACAAACAAAATGAAAGCATAAAAATGTTCATTTATATTAACAAACAATCATTCATGAAATAACAATGAAACAAAGTTATAGTAGAAAATAGACAGTCCAAATACAGGGTGTATCAAAAAGAATTAAATGCAAAAGGCTAGATGCATTCTCAATCATCCAGGAAAGTAAATCTCCAAAAGTTGATTCTGTTCATCTGGACATAGCGTTTTGTGGGAGAAACGTTTCGTCACTCATCCAAGTGACGTCTTCAGTCTCAGCTGACTGCAGGTTTTCCCAATCTTATAAACAGTACATTTGCATAATGACTGAAACCAGCCCACTGAAACAAACAGAGTAATATAGTGTACGCTATAGTGTGCCAGGAGAATTGCCAGGATTTTTACATCGGGGAAACCAAACAACCTCTAGCGAAGCGGATGGCACAACGCAGAAGAGCTACCTCGTCAGGCCAGGACTCTGCAGTCTATTCACACCTACAGGCCAGTGGACACTCTTTCAATGATGAGGATGTAACATCCTGGACAGGGAGGAACGCTGGTTTGAGCGCGGAGTCAAGGAGGCCATTTACGTGAAAAGGGAAAGACCGTCTCTGAATCGAGGAGGGGGCCTAAGGGTACATCTGTCACCATCTTACAATGGTGTGATTGCAGCCATTCCCCAACTCCCTGTGAATGGTACTCATGGCCTTTTATTAGTGGTATTTGATAAGTGGTTGTTGATCAATGGTCATGACAAGTTGCATATTAATGATCAAGCAACTGACCTCCCAGCCCATTGTTATAATAATAATGGATTGCATTTCTAGGCACCCAAAGTTCTTTACTCTCACATTCACACACTGGTGCAGGCAAACTATAGTTGTAGCCACAGCTGCCCTGGGGCAGACTGGCAGAAGCGAGGCTGCCATATCACACCATCGGCCCCTCTGGCCAAAACCAGTAAGCGGCAGGGTAAAGTGTCTTGCCCAAGAACACATCTGCCGGGACAGAGGGAGCAGTGGGATCGAACCGGTCCCACTGCTCGGTTACAGATGAGATTTCCAACCCCCCTGAGCCATGGTCGCCCTTTTTCCTTCAGTGGTGCTGGTTTCAGTCATTATGCAAATGTCCTGTTTATAAGATTGGGAAAACCTGCAGTCAGCTGAGACTGAAGAAGCCACTTGGATGAGTGACAAGACGTTTCTCCCACGGAAAATGCCACGTCCAGATGAATAGAATCAATCTTTTGGGAGTTTTAGAAACTGTTTATTTAAATATACTTACACTTTATCAGACCTTGCCTCAGCCATTGGACTCCACCAGGATCAAATCTAAAATGAATTGAGGGGAAGGATGTAAGCACAAAATGAATTGAAAGACAGAGAGTGTTGAGTTACTAAATCTAAAATATTTTACTAATAAGCTTTTCGTCAGCTTTTTCATCCATGGATGCTTGTTATTAGCATTAACATTGGTTTTCAGTGCTCAGTGGGGGTTTCCACTCTCAAACTTGACTGAAGAGATCATTTATGATTGTAAAGTGAGCCATTATGAGGACTTTAAAATGATAACACATCTATTGTAAATGTCTGTATTTAAACTCAGTCAGACTGGATTTCTATGTGTAGCTGAGGTATCAGCTACTTTCCTGTATTTTTTTAATATTCTCCTGCTTTTCAAAAATTCTCATTCTCAAATGTTAATGCTATAATTTTGTTAAACTCTTGACCCTTGACACTTCAAGCATGTTTGAGGTTTGATGTCTGTCCAACAAATTTTTGTCCAAAGTATAAACACAGATACAGATTTGATCTTTCTCCCTGTTTAAAATATGTTAATTTGATATAGTCTGATTGATCTTAACCTAAGAGACTCCAGTTTACAGCGTGGACTCTTCAATGCAGCTGACAGTAGAAATTCTCCTGAATCCTGCAGGTTATTGTTACCCAGATCCAGCTCCCTGAGATTAGATGATTGAATAACTCTGATCAGAGCTCCACAGCTTCTCTCTGAGAGGTTACAGCCACTCAGCCTTAGAAAAGTTATTGAATAAGAGAAAGAAATGTAAGAGTTAAACATCCACAATGAAGCTGCACACAAGGAACATAGATTTTATTAAATGGACATAGACCTGCATTTTAAATCTGATGAAATATAAACAGTTACCAAAATATAACCTATATACTACAACTGTGGTAGATTAGCTTAAATGGCTTCACATTTCAATAAATATAATATGTTAACACACTAAAGATGCAATAAAGGACCAAACCGTGTTTCATATTTTCTTCCTTAGTCAAAAATATTCCTCAGCTTCAATGTAAAAAACAAAACAAAAAACATCTATCTATTTATCTATATACATATACATACATACATGCATAAATACATACACATATATATA